GTGTGCGTGGGCCAAACGTGTGAGGTGCCACGACTCGCCGTATTTCTCTGCTGGAGCTTGGGAGGAGACGGCGTGGCGTCCTGACGAGGTGTCGCCCCGCGCTGACGGGGAGCCCGGCATCCTGACGCAACGTGGCCTTGTAGGCCACAGTTGTAGCAGCGTGTGAGCGCCCCAGATGTCCTGGGCTGCTCCTGGCGGCTCGGTCCATTCCGAGCCTGTGGTGCCGCCGATCTCCATTCCCCTCGCCGCTCCACCCCGCAGAAATCCTCCGATGGGAGGGCGGTGGCCGCCATGGCATGGCCGGCTGCCCCCTTTGCCGCCTTTCGACGTAGGGACCGCAAGCCCCCGTGGATGTGGCGCGCGACCAGCAGGGACGACATCTCCGCGTCGTCCTGAGCCAGGACGTTGACGTCCAGCTCATCAGCGAGTAGCAGCAGCTTCTCAGCCACCATGGCATCCACTCCTTCCTCGTCCATCCTTGGAAAAGCAGCCTTCGCCAGGGCCAGGAGAGCCGTCCGGAAGGCCAGGGGCGATTTGTTGGCGCCCCGATGCCGATCGTGGAACAGCTGCCTGCAGTCCGAAGGCGGCCCATAGACGGCTGACAGCAGCTGCAATGCCAGGTGCAGAGTGGCGCGCTTTTCCCTAGGCGCCGAGGTGAGGGTAGCCAGGGCGTCGTTGTCCAGCCTCGCCGGCAGCGCGCGTAGAGCCTCGGCGTCCGACCAGTTCGCCATCTCTTGATGAGCGATGAACCGCCTCTTGAAGCCGCCCCAGTCTCCGTCTGCGCCTACGAATTCTTTTAGAGGCGGCAGACGCTGCTGTAAGGCGACGTCCGTGGCTGCAGATCGCTCTCCGTCGCTCCCCGCCGATGATACAGTGTGGGCGGGCTGTGAGCATGGCATCGCCGGTCGCTCTGATGTTGACGCGCTGGCCGGTGTTGATGATGTCACGGCTTGTGCTTGGCGCTCAGCAGTCACGTGACGCGGGCCGGCCCCGCCCTCCGCTCGCACTGTAGTGATGGCGGGAAATTTAACCGCGAGCCGCGTCGGGGTTGCGGGAAACGTCGCCGCGCGTCGGCTGCCGTCGTCGACCCGCGCTGCCCCTCCAGCCCCCAGCCGCGTGATCTCCTCCAACGCGGCGGCCGCGGCGTAGAGCAGTTCCGCCAGGCGGGAGTGGGCCAGCCGGAGTCCTTCGGCCGACGCATCCCCCCCCTCTTGTCGTAGCGGCGCGGGCGTACTCGGCCCCGGCTGCTCCGATCCGACCCCGGCCATCTCTGGTGGTGATTCGGCCGCGGCGTCTTCCATCTCCGACTCCCTGGTACGTGTCGTCCCTCGTGTGTCCATCGTTGGACGTTTTACTTCTGACACCAGATGTAGTACGTATATGGGAGGCTTGACGACAGGATCGGAGGCACACTTGTTTATTACACCAACACAGTAATTACAGGTCACTTGGCTACAGGGATTGCACAACAGCTAACCCCTCTAACCTATGCCCATTCCTCCACTACGGGGCTAGGGGAGGCTATCTGTCCCAGCCTGGTTAAGCTGGGATCCCGGCACCCTGAGTCTCCAGACCAGCTTAGTCTGGGCTCTCGGGGCCACGCCACCGGCTTGCCCTGGTCGGCCCTTATAAGGACAGCGAGCCAGGTGAGCTCTGGGGCCTATTCTAACAGGTCTTCCTTCTTCTCTGGTTAAAGCTGAGCCCCGACCTCGAGCCCTCGAGCTCATCACCTTTTTTAGGACTCGCCCCCGAGGGGGGGCCTGTGGGGGATGCACATGCGGACGTCGGTGCGAGCGCCACCCTTGTGTACGGCCGTAACCCCGCCCCTTGTGTTTGTTGGCCATCCGTGGCCATGCATAATCACACCTCAACATCCGTAGCCATGAGCAATTACACCTCTACACCTACATGACTTTACCGAAAGAACCAAAAAAATGTCACTTCAAATTATTCAGCTAAATTTGCACAGCAACGCCACCCACTACTGTGATACTACAGCAGTCTGTGTGAGACACAGCTGCACCTATCTCAAGGATAGCCTGGCGCCATGAGAATGACAGCACCAATACTAAGCACACTCACTGGCCATGTCGTTATTGCTGTTTCTATTCAGCTCGAATTAATCCGCCACACATTCCACCCACGGACGATGGGGAGATGGCGATGTCTGCCGTAGCAGCAAGGTGGAACGGTGTCGTGTTTGACAGACAACCATCAGTTTTACCATGTCTAGTGGTGGTCTCCCTGTTACAGGTTGAGTCACAAACCGCACCTCTCCATAACAAAGGCTCAGCCTTTGATATGCAGTCTATTCTTAGTCTTAAGCCTCACCTTACCATATTAATAAAAGTATGCGGCCCTTGCCCCACCACCTTCTCCAACCATTATATAAACGAAGTGGTAGCTTCTGCAATCTCTCATTTACCTGATACAGCTGTCGTGGCTGTGACGGTTCCACCTGAAGACGGAAGCTTGTGTTACCTCCGAAACGTCGTGATTTTTATTTTTTACGTTATTTTATTTTACTTTTTAATGTTTTTTTACCTACGTGACTTTACCGAAAAAACCTAAGAATATGAATCATTGCAGTCACGAAAGCTTCAAATCTAGAACGGTGTCGTGTTGTCTCTTCACAGATCTGAGCCAGCTCAGCCCTCCTCCTCACTCGTCCAGGCCTTTGAAGTGAAGACAGAGGTTGTGGAGAAGGAGACGAAGGAAGAGGTGAAGGAGATGTAGGATGAAGTAGAGACGGAGGAAGAGAAGGCAAAGGAGGACGAGATTGTGATGGTGACAATGGAGGAGAACACGGAGGGAGAGGAGAAAGACAATACGGAGATGGAGGACAAGGAGACAACAAAGGATGAACAGATGGTCGTGGTGGAGGACATGGAGACGACGGACAAAGGGGAAACGATGGTGGTGGAGGAGGAAGAGAAGACGGTGGTGGAGATGGTGGTGCCGGAAGGTGAGGAGGAGATGAAGGAGGAAGAGATGGTGCTAGCGGAGGAGAAGAAGATGGAGAAGATGGAGGTGGCGCAGGAAGAGGAGGTAGAGGTAGAGGAGAAGATGGTGGTGGAGGATGAAGAAGAGGGGATGGAGGAGGATGAGACGGAGGAGAAAACGGAAGAGGTGCAGGTGGAGATGCACGAAAAGAAGAGGAAGCGAGGGGGCCTCGCTCGCGTGGCGAGAGCGATCGCCTCACTCGTCCGCCGCGTGCTGCTTTGTGGTGGCAGGTCCACCGCCCAGTAGGGGTGGTGGCGGTGGTCGTGCATCGGTGCCAACCGTGACCACCATCACCACACTACCCGCCCACCCAGTGATACTCGCTACTCACACCACACGGTTCCCCAGAGAGATGGTGCCACTGGGACCACAGCTGGGGAATGAAGCTGAGCAGCAGATGCCAGGACTACAGCGGAGAATGACTGCTGCCAGGAGACCTCACATCACACACACACGGGACCATGTCATTAGCATAGCCGGCCCCACACTGGGCCCCTTCCATGCTGGTTTTCATCCAGGCAGTCCTCATGGGATGACCTTGCCATGGTTTCCAGGACATGGTCGTATTAGCATTTTATTGTGCTTGAATGTATGTTATGTGCAAATGCACATCATTTGTCGTAAATGCGAGGGAGGGGTTAAGAGATGCACGTTTAATCCAGTGTTAACATTTATTTTAGCATCATATTAAAGGACACTGTTGTTGAGAAGAATTTGTCTGGACGTGGCACGTGCCTTGTTCTACTCGATCAACCAAAATTAGTACAATGTCGGTCATACAGGAGTGTGATTTCATTCATGAGTAGTATTCACAGAGCCCCTATGGCACTAACCTACCTAAAGTTATGGTTAAACAAAGTAATCTTGAGTGACTTAATTCTCAGCTCAGACATGATCATCGCAATCATTTCCAAAGACGTGTGGGGTCATGCGAGAGCAGGTCCCGACTACAAACAGCTGGGCAGCAGAATCGGAAGTAGCTGCGTCGCCCTTGAAATGTGATGTTGCTGCTGTTGTTGTCGCTGCTGTTATTGCTGTTGTAGTTGCTTCTGTTGCTGTGATAAACTCAGGGAGGTGGTGTTCCGTGATGGGATGACGCCTTTGATTAAAGCCTCTGATCAAACTCACCCGATTGACGCCCTTGATCGTCGCATTTGATCAACTCTGATATTGTATACTCTCACATGTTAAGCTCTATCATAGTGAAACATAATATTATAACCTATGAACTACAACCTATCCATTGTAACGCTGTAAAATAATATTACCTGTTGGGTTTCACTCCCTCGTCGAGAAGGCCGCTCTCTTCCTTTTCTAAGGTTACATGCTAATTTCTCTGCATTCACTTTAAATCGAGGACAAAGTTTTTCCATTTATTCAAAATAAGCGCACAATTACACACTGAGATGCACTTACATATTCATGCATGAAGCACAATGGGCACATTACTCTTCGGTATGTTAATAGACATGCGGATTGTGCCTTCCAAAATTAACAATCGAATGCAAATATCCTGAAAGACAAAGGATTGGATCCTAGGGGGGAGTTATAAGGCGGCTCAGAAGCAGAGCTCAATGCCATTTCGAGAGGGAACTTGATGAGGTTGGACGCTCGACTCGTCGCTCTGCTGATCGCCCTTCAACCGCGAGACAACGCAGCCTGGCGAGCACAATTGCTGAGTCGACAGTTAGGCGACTTTGGGTCGGGAGAGTTCGTGGCGACATCTTCAGACGGGTTCCCAGACATCGATATACCGTGAATCTCCAAGTAAGTGTCTTTTTTCGCGGATAAACTCTTAAACGTGTTCGTCGTCAAATTAGCGGTATTTTTTTGCGTCTCGGTTAGACGCGAGTGTCGTTCTTGTTTTAGCAGTTAACAAAATCCAAAACTCAACGCTAAACATCATTGCGGCCGATAGCGTACATTTGACTCGATAACACCGCTGCTGTTACTACGCTCACATGGAGCAGAGACGCTCTCCACAGCCCCACGCACACGGAGGCAAGAAGCCATTCAATTGCTCTGTGTGTGGGAAGTCCTTTTCACGGCAATCAAGTCTTCAGAGACACCAGAGAACACACACGGGCGAGAAGCCGTTCCTGTGCCCTGTGTGTGGGAAGACATTTGCACGGTCATCACATCTTCAGAGTCACCAGAGAACACACACGGGCGAGAAGCCATTCCTATGCCCTGTGTGTGGGAAGAAATTTGCACACTCATCACATCTTCAGATTCATCAGAGAGCACACACGGGCGAGAAGCCATTCCTGTGCTCTGTGTGTGGGAAGGCATTTGCACAGTCATCACATCTTCAAGACCATCAGAGAACACACACGGGCGATAAGCCATTCCTGTGCCCTGTGTGTGGGAAGGCATTTTCACAGTCGTCAAATCTTAACACGCATCAAAAGGTCCACAATGATAGGAAACCGAAATCAAAAGCTGAAGTTCAAGGTGCTGCATTGAGTCCTGAAGAATTTTCCACCTTCGATCCCATGCAGTTGGATCCCGAGAGATGGCTGGATGTAATGGAGTGGCTCGACGATCAAACCGAGAGTCAGGGATGACTGAACAAATATTACGTCAGGTAATATTTGTTAGTTTTACAGTTTTTGTGAGAGTTTAATGACGTGCACAGTGGTGGTTTGTAATGTTATCGGATTACTTGGCGAAGTGGCGTGATGAGCAGTGGTTGTGATATGATTCAATTCCGGACAATATTGTAGTGGTTAAGTCTTCCTGTTGAGCTAAAGTTGGAATGCATCTTTAGTTAGATCTTTTCTCAACATTTTAAACGGGTTTTTTCAAGCATATAGATTTTTTTGGTTGGTATTAATCGACTTTAGATAACCGATTTAAGGATGTACATTGATGACGCGTTCGTTGGATATATGGCCTTGACTTCAACATAGACGCACAGTGAACACATGTGGTGAACTAATAAGGAAATAATGGAGAGTGATACTTTAACGCTTTGGTATTCCTGGAACGGATATGGTTTGCATTGTATTGTAACTGTTTGAACATAGGACATAATACATTCGGTTCGAGTTTTGACTTGATTGCAGATGAATAAAAACGTTTTTTTTAACAAATGTGTGTCCGTTCATTTATTCATATCAACAACGTGTTTTAAGCGAGTTTCAGGTGGAGGATCTTCGTCACACAAATCTGCCCTTAACCGGCAGCATCTTGGCTGTCTCCCCATTAACATGTGTCCCTGGAGGGGAAAGGTTCCCTCATTATAAATCTATTCGCAACGTTACGGTCCCTAATCATCAAGTATGACATGTGAACTGTAACACTATCAACGATAACAAAAATCATTAAAATACAATACTCTATTAACTAGTTTCATCATTTATAACACCAACAACAGAGGTACGGTATTATTAGTTTTGAACAAAATAAACGGAGGTTCGTGATTATAATCGCATAATAATAATTATAATCGCACTGTGATAATGTTAGAATCACACTGTGGCCATATGCATGTTAACTGAATGCGAACCGGGGGTAGGATATGCAAGATTTGAATCTCATTACAATTATTAAAATCCCACTGTAGTCGTATTAGAATCAAACTGTCCACTGTTGGATGAATGTCATGTTAATTGAATCGAACAGCTATAAACGGTATGTAAACATATAAAGTGTATAACAATCACATATTATAACATAATTACATTTCATATGATATGAAAAAACTACGTTCATTTAAAAAAAAACTGAGAATTTCGTGTATAATAATGTACGTGCAAGCGAACTGTGCTCGTATGCATGTAATATGCATCTATGGCCTTCGGACATGCGAACCGGTGGTCGGATATGCGAACGGGGGGGGGGGGGGGGGTGCAGGATTATGATCGGATTAAAATGATTAGAATAACACTATGGTCGTATTAGAATTATACTGAGCTAAAATATATGTTATACTAGCTGTACTACCCGGCTTCGCCCGGGACTTGTATCCACCACGGCCGGCCGCCTTTGTCTCCCCAGTGGCGATGTTAATACGCCACACCAGTTACTCGTTTTGCGGCTGAGTCCCTCCCTCACCACTCTCCCTCCCTCACCACTCTCCCTCCCTCACCACTCACCACTCACGCACGGCCGCCTTTGTCTCCCCAGTGGCGATGTTAATACGCCACACCAGTTACTCGTTTGAGGCTGAGTCGACCTAGGGGAGGTTCAAATAATCGTCACCGGTGGTGGCCGTGAGCGGGAATGGAACTCGGTTCGCCGGGTTTGTAGCGCAGCGTAGCGATAAGCACTACACCCACCGCTCCTCACACACCACACACGCACAGACACACACACAGACACACACACAGACACACGCAGACACACAGACAGACACACACACACAGACACACAGACAGCACGCTAACCACTACACTACCGCTCCCCACACACCACACAAGCACACACACAGACACACACACAGACACACACACAGACACACACACACAGACACACAGACACAGACAGCACGCTAAGCACTACACTACCGTTCCCCCTACACAACACACGCGCGCGCGTCCATAGGTACACATACACGCGCTTGCTGCAGACACACACGACTGTCAGGGTGCGTACGGCAGTAAACGACTGAAAAAAGAAAGCGGCAATGCTGCGCGAGGAACGCCTTAGACCTGCAACACATTTGTGTAATGCGAGCGTAAACACACAAACACATACAAACACATACACACACATACATACACACACATACACACAAACACATACACACACATACACACACATACATACACACAGACATACACATACACACAAACACACACATACATACACACAAAAACATAGACAATACACACACACATACATGCAGACACACAGACAGACACATAACACACATACATACACACACATACATACACATAAACACATCCACAGACGTACATACACACATACATACAGACACGTAGACATACACATAAACACATACAAAAAAACCCACATACATACACACACACATACACACAAACACATACACACACATACATACACACATGCATACAGACACACAGACATACACAAACATATACACACATACACATGACCCGGCTTCGCCCGGGACTTGGATCCACCACGCCCGGCCGCCTTTGTCTCCCCAGTGCCGATGTTAATACGCCACACCAGTTACTCGTTTGAGGCTGAGTCGACCTAGGGGAGGTTCAAATAATCGTCACCGGTGGTGGCCGTGAGCGGGAATCGAACTCGGTTCGCCGGGTTGGTAGCGCAGCGTAGCGTTAAGCACTACACCCACCGCTCCTCACACACCACACACGCACAGACACACACACAGACACACACACAGACACACGCAGACACACACAGACAGACACAGACAGACACACACACACACAGACACACAGACAGCACGCTAAGCACTACACTACCGCTCCCCACACACCACACACAGACACACACACAGACACACACACAGACACACACACACAGACACAGACAGCACGCTAAGCACTACACTACCGTTCCCCCTACACAACACACGCGCGCGCGTCCATAGGTACACATACACGCGCTTGCTGCAGACACACACGACTTTCAGGGTGCGCACGGCAGTAAACGACTGCTATAATAAAGCGGCAATGCTGCGCGAGGAACGCCTTAGACCTGCAAGACATTTGTGTAATGCGAGCGTAAACACACAAACACATACAAACACATACACACATACATACACACACATACACACAAACACATACACACACATACACACACATACATACACACAGACATACACATACACACAAACACACACATACATACACACAAACACATACATAATACACACAGACATACATGCAGACACACAGAGACACACATAACACACATACATACACACACATACATACACAGAAACACATACACACACACATACATACACACACATACATACACACAAACACATACACACACGTACATACACACATACATACAGACACACAGACATAGACATAAACACATAAAAAAAACCCACATACATACACACACAGACATACACACAAACACATACACATACATACACACATACATACACAGAGACAAACACATACACACAAACACATACATACACACAAACACATACACAATACACACACATATGAAGTACCCGTCGAGGACGCTTGACAACGGAGTTGAGGCACACGTATATTTATTTAACAAGTTGCCAGTACAGGACAGCCCTAGAGGGGGTAGCGGCCCCCTCACCCGTATAACTCAGGGAACACCCCTAGCTATCCATAGCCTATCCCCTGAGTCCTCCACTAAGAGCTAGGGGAGGCTGTCTGGCCCGACACTGGTAATCGGGCTCGGTACCCGGAGTCCCAGAGCACTGGCTCTGGTTCACGGGACCACGCCACTGGCTCGAGCCTGATCCCGTGGGGCCCTGATAAGGGCGGCGATCAGGGGGAGTCCAGGGCTCTAGCTACGACGTCTTCCGACTTCTTAGCTTAACTATAACATAACTGACTAAGCCCATATAACGACCCCTTTTTATACCCAACCCTCCTTGAGGGGTGGGGCCCCGGGGGATCGTAACGCCGAACCAGCCCCCCCCCAGGGTGTCTGGCTCGGACGTCGCAGAGGGCATCTCCCTGTGCACACACGTAGCCCCGCCCACTGTGTTTCTTTCCCATAGGCTGCCATGCATAACGGCCCTCTCTCCAACATCCCTACATCACTCCCCCCCGCATAGCTCGCAGCCGTCCCGGCTGCAACAATTTCAACCAATGAATCTTTACCCCTTGACTCCCCCCGTGTGTGCCCCATTTTTTCCATTTAACAGAACGAGAATTAAACAACAACACTAACAATGCCCCTAAAGGGAGAACAAACCGACGCGCCCCCCCCCCCCGAATAAATACGAAATCCGTAGAGGCAAGATATGTACATTTCCCGGAACCCTCAGCGCACGCACAACACGCACACAAGACGCACACACACACACAGCCATAATACAACAACGCGCCAAGAGCGCCACACGAACGCAGCGTCCAGCAACAATAGCACACGAAAGTGTACCAGAAAACGCAAAAAAAATAAAAAAAAATTTTCTTCTTATTTTCGTTTCGTTTTCACTTCTTGTTCGCGTTCCAGTGTTTTTATAAGAGTCTGCGCATTTTAGCGCGCGTCCTTGCCGCAGGCCCGTCACAAGGGCCAACCTCAGATGGCGGACCATTCGGTGGCCGCTGTCCCATCCGAGGCGAGTCCGCAATTGGAGTGGCGGGACCCTCGGCATCCCCCGTGAGGGATGTGCGCGAGCCCGTCATTCCGGGAGAACCTGGGGGCGGGGCAACCGGCAAGACGTCAGGTGAGATCAACAGAGGCGGACCCTCCGGGTCGGTCGACCCCTCACATGCTTGGC